GCGCCATGCGCAGACTCAGTTCCTGGAGGAAGATGGCGACAGCCGAGAAGCAGAAGCACGACGGGCGCGTGAAGATCGGCCACTACATTCTGGGGGATACGCTGGGGGTCGGCACTTTCGGCAAAGTGAAAGGTGAGCGGTCTGCGGCGAGGCCGGGCCTGGCCCGGGGTCCTGGCCTCTCCCGCTTCACGCACCTTCATCCTCTCCCGCGCGGTCCTCCCGGCTCCGGGTTGGGCAGCGCCGGCCGAGCTCTGGCCGATCGTGCCCGAGGCCGTGGCGGGATGCGGCGCGGCGCCCGGGCCGGTGGGGGTGGGGTGGGGCCCGGTCGCCATGGCGACGGCGCAGCCGGAGGGGCTCGGCCGGGTGTCCGAGGTGGGAACTTTCCCGGCGTTGGGGTCAGCTGGCCGTCGGCTGCGGGGCGGGGGGCCCGGACTGGGGGTCTCTGCGTGGGGAGCCCCCGACGGGCGGCCTCGGATTGGCCGCGCCGTAAGCTGTTCTGGCCCAGGACCAGCCCATCGCGTCCCGGGCAGTCCAGAGCATTTGTCCACGTCTGGCGGCTGCCAGTTTATCTGGCCCCGGCAACCAGTGTGAAATGGGCTTTGCAAAAAGTATCCTGTGGAATAAAGAAACAGGCTTTCTCGGGAAGGATCGCTGATTTCCCTCCGAGCACCTGATTCATATAAACAGATCCGGTATTTGCTGTTCACGATTTACGTCCGAACTGCAGATGGTGTCGAGTTACTGGGAGTTTTGCAGTCTGTGTGTTGAACCTGGTAGCTGGTGAAGGTGTTGCCTCAAGATAGCATTTTAGTTCATTTACACACTTGCTTTTCGCTTATTTTCAAAGGGCGATATTTTTTAGTTTGGTAAACCGTTAATGCATGCCATTCTGACCTTTTTTAAAAAAATAAAAAGTGCAACCTCTCAGCACTTAATTGGCATAAAGAACTTGTTCTCCCTTCCACTTATTCTGGCACGGCAAAATTGTAATTGTAAAATTTAGGTGGCATACATATTGTTTTCTTAAAATATTTAACTTTATTAAGGATTAGGCGAAGGAAATATGGAACTGGTAAAAATTATATGTTTTTGTTATTGCTAAGTGCTGTTGAGTACAACTCATAGTGACCCTGTGAACAAAAGATCTGAACCCTGGCTTACCAGGTGCCATCACACTTCCTGACACACTAGAGCCCATTGCCGCAGTCATTGCATCAGTCCACCTGGAAGAAAGTCTTCCTCGCCCTCGCAGACCCTTCACCCTTCCCAGCATTATGTCCTTCTCCATGGAATAGCCCCTCCTAGCAACATGCACAAAATATGTAAGGCAAAGCCTCATCATTCTTGTCTCCAAAGAACACTCCATTAAGCTTAGTTAGAGGACTGTTTATTACTTGGATATGCTAAGCTCTTGGTAAATATTTGACTTGGGAATAAAAAGTTTGTGAAAGCCTGTATAGTATGCTAACTGACTGAGCTTTGCTTTCTTTGAGCTAAAGAAACATTTTCTGGTTTTACTTGAGAATGGAAGAGAACATTCCTTTATCATGTCCTTCCTGAGTCATGTAGAACTGGAAAGTTTTAGTGGAGCCCACAAGGAAGCCACAGCTTAAAATCAAAGAAAATTAGTAAGACCAGCCATGTAAGGGTGATCTTGTTAGGTGCCTTCGAGTCGACTGTTACTCATAGTCATCCTGTTAACAACGGATCTGAACCCTGCCCCATCCTCTGCCATCCTTCTCATCTCTGCAAGACTTGCACCCATTGCTTTTGTCACTGTGTCAGTCCATCTTGTTGAGGGTAACCCTCCACCTTTCCAAGCATGATTTTCATTTTCAAGGGGTGCTTCCTAACAACATGCCCAAAATATGTGAGAAGAAACTTCATCTTCCTTGCCTCTAAGGAACACCCTGTTTGTATTTTCTGCTTGACAGTTGTTCTTTCGGAATTCTGCAAGGTATTCAGTACTCTTGTCCAGCACCCAAAGGCAAGCATTCTTCTGACATTCATTGTAATTAAGTAAGAAGCAAATGCTACAATATATAGTAAGGACTATACACCTAACAACATGTTACTGTTACACATAAATAAATCACATCATCTGCGATTCACATCATCCCTGTCAACAACTCTGAACCTTGCCTGATCCTAAGCCCATTGTGGCAGTCACTGTGTCAGCCCATCTTGTTGAAGGTCTTTCTCAGACTTAACTTTCTAGCATGGTCTTGGTTCACCCTGAAAATATTCCTAAAGTAAGTGACACAAAAGTTTGACCATCTGGCTGATCCAAGATGGCGGCAGAGGCAGAGACAGCCTGCTGAGCTGCGGGAGCAGCGAACCACTTAAAGCAGGGCCATTATGGCCTCCTACAGACTTCGGCTTATTGATAATTGAACACTTAAACAGTTGATGACTGGCTCTCAGTGAAGATTGAGGCTCAGCAACAGGAATTCAAGGATTCCCAAGGAGAAATGGGTGAGTCTCGTGGCTCCCAACCCCCTCCCACAGAGCCCGGGCAGCGCTGCACAGCTGCTGCAGCTCATGAGGCTTCCACAGCTGGAATCAATGGATTCCCTCACCCAGGATGGATGCTGGGGACCGACCCTCCTCAAGACTGGTGCAGTGAAGCCACCACACTGCCGCAAGGTGGACTTGTTCTGGAGAGAATTCTTGGAGCCAGGATGGTGGCAGTGGGGGAAGCGGGCACCCGCTGGCTGCCTGCACAAGAGGGGCTGCGCACCCGCCGTGCAGCGGGGTGGGGGGCGCGCCCCCAACGGCCGCCTGTGTAGGAGGTGGGGGATGGGATGCATGCCCGCCATCTGCAGGTTTGGGTTTCCTTGGACAGGCCGAAGATGATTACCTATACAATGGATTGCTGAAAGTCACTGTGAGTCTGATGACCTTAACAGTGGCAGCATGCACAAGAGGACCAACATCCTAAATGCACCACATATTTTGTTCTGTTGAATGCTTCTGCCAAAAGATGGTTAGATCTGGGGGGAGTCTGTTCACAATTCTCAGGTTCCCTTTATCATATATAAAGGGGGAGGGCACTGACACCTACGTCAAAATATAGTATGATCACTTATGGGGGGGTAAAAGTGGCAGTGCTGGAATTGGAGACACTATCCCTGACCACAGAGTCCTCAGTCAGGCGAGGGGACCAGACTGGGGTAGGGGCAGTTGGAGGGGGAGTATACCAGCCAGCTCCTGGGGGGTGTTGCCGTGCTCGGGATGGGCTGCCCTCGGCCCCCGGCTCGGGGTGAGCCGTCATGGCCCTCAGGGTGAGCTCCTCAGTCCCCAGATTGTGCCATCTGACCCCTGGGTGGGGAAGGGAAAAACAAAAAGAATGCCTAGGGTATCCAGAGAATGTTACCTAGGCCACCTTCTGGCACCCTTCCCCCCCGGTAAACCTGAAAGCAACACCCTCAAAGCCATTCTGTTTGTAACTCACAAGTTTGTTCTCTCTAGGTTTGCTCCCTTTCCTATAGGTAACCTTAACACTGAGTTTTACTCCAGAATTGACCCTGAACCCAGTGCCAGTGACGAAAAGGAAATACAACTGACAGCTAAGGAAGCAAAGGAGGATGGAACCTCTGGGTTCAGCCAGCCATACCCACTGGACCCACCTGGGAAAACACTTTGCAGTCCAGAGGGGAACAAATGACAGGAAAATATCTTCTAACAGAACAAGAAGGCAAGCAGCTTTAACCCAAGACCACCAGTAAGGTGATAAAGCGTCCTCCCTTCCCCCCTTTATATCTACGCCTCTGTTCAGCATGAAGGAGCCAGAGAGTCGGCATCCAATTCCCAAATCAATAAGACAGTTGGTTTAATTACTATTGGAAAATGCTTGTCATTCCTCTGTAGCATCTGGTCCCCACTGGACCCTCATCATTTCCTTCACCTGCTCCCCCACCGACCAAACTGTGCAGCTCTGCAACTACATCCCTGCCCATCCTCACCCTTCTGCCCCCAACCCTCACCTCCTTGTACCCCCAATATGTTTTTCCCAATAAAAGAAAAAGAAAAAAAGTTGGACCATCCTTGCTTCTCAGGAGCTCTGTGAGAGTCCATGTTAGTCTAATAAGATTCTTTCCATGCCCTGAAAGTTATTTTTTTTGGCTCTCTTTACTTGTTAAAAGTTACAACTTAATTTTTTGTTTACTAAGACAAGAGGTTCAGATCTACCAGTTACTTTGTAGCAGAAAGAAAGACAATCTCCATGTCCAGTTTACAGTCTCTGGAAACCTACTGAAGGTTCCTCTGTGAGTCGGTTCTGACTCGATCACACATAGATAACGCAAATGTCTATAAGACATGTCCACTACTGACCCATAGAGAATGACAGACCAATCTTTATTCCCTTCTCCGTTTGGATTATGATGCTTATCATTCTTCTAATAAACACTTGCCGAGAGGCTCCCTTATTTTCTTATTTGGCATGGCTGATAAGAAGGCAAGAAGAGAGAATTCATTTCTTAGATTTGATCTTTGATGTGGCTGTGACAGGAATCTGTCCAGTGACTCTCGTGTTCCTTTCATTTCTGCGCCTGAGCCCTCTTGAAATCCCATTCATTGTCAAAGTCACTATCTTCCTCAGGTTCAAGGGCTGACACTCGTCATAAGGATATCAGTTTTTATGGATAGGGTCAGATTTGTTTTAGAAGTACATTAGATGATGTCGTTCAAAACTGAAACAGAAAACTAGGGTTGTCAGGATGCATTGGTCATGAAAGAAAATAGCCAAGTCAACCTGGTGAAGAGTGTGTCGTCAAGTAATTGTCCTCTGTGCAGAGCAGGGAAGCCTGTTGCACCTTTGGGAGTCTCATTGATTAGGATGTCCCAGTGGCTTTCTTAAATAGACACTAGGGAGGGGATTCTCAGTGTTACTCTTGGGGGAATTCGGTTCACGCTTGGATATGTGTGTCACCTTTTCTTCTGAAGTATACCTTAACTCCTTATTTACTAACCGTCTTGCTTTCTGACATTTCAATTTTGTGACAATATTGTTGTTATGTGCCGTCAAGTTGCCTATGACTCATAGCGACCCTGTGGACGACAGCTCTGAAGCCTGTCCTGTCCTGAGCCAATCTCACTGACTTTAACACACCTATGCCATTGCTTTGTTA